CACATAAGCAAAAGTATACATTATTGTTATTAATTTAACAAATATATATGTATATATTGGATAATAATACATCGTCAAGCTTCAATGCTGAATCTACTTTAAAAATCTAAAATATTATCTTATCCTTCACACGATGTGATCTACGTCGAATACCTGGTGGAGGATAAAACTGTCACTAAGCTCAACTAGGCCGAACTATTAGCTAATTCGACACTGGATTACAGAAATGACGGCACATTTGGCGAAGTAAAAAGTGTTTTCGACCATGACAACGCATCCGCTGACACCCCGTCGCCGTATCGTCAGATTGGTCAAACTCGACTGCGAACTGCTTTCCAATCCAAAAAATTACAAATGATATTTATTGTTCAGACGGACATTAACAAAGGAACAAAATTGTTACTATATTTGCATAACAATACAATTTCTGGATTTAGATAAATACTTACGAGTTTAATGAGGTTACATACCTTGATGGTTCCTTTACTTTAACTGAATAGCGAATACCCTGTGGTATGACACATATTTCATTTGGCCTTACTACAAATTTGCCAAATTCAGTTGTTATTTCCAAACATCCCTTCTGAGGCACTAAAAAACCAAAAAAACATATATGAATTAATTTTTAGTTTTTACAAAGCTTTTTATGTTAAGACCAGTAGATAAATTTTGAAGGGAAAATAAACCATGGCAGAATAAAACCCTTTGATAGAATAACAAGAGTTACAGAAAATATAATATACGACAAGTATGAGGTAAGGAAGAAAAAGTGGAGGAAAACTGTTGAATTTTTAAGGGTTAACAACTGTTTACCTCGATTTCAGGCAAAAGATCTTTGTACAAGTTGTCTACAACTTCAGTGTTAACACATTTCTCGCATAACCTCAAAATTTACGTAAAAAATTAAGTGACCAAGTTTTTGATTTTTTAAACTCTTACAACATGTTGCTACAGATTTCAGAACTTTATTTAACTAACAGTTGTTTGTAACGCCTAAAACTAATCGAGAGAGATATAAAATTGTTAACATATACATTTGCATTGTGACGAGACGAATTGAATTTCGAATCATTGTCTTTCCGTCCGTCCGTGTGTGTAGTATCATAAGCATCATTTTCTTACAATTAAAGGTGAAATTAGTCCATAAATCAGTATATTCGGTCTATATTATATTTCATTTTCGAAATTCTCGTAGATTTCATCGGTTACTGTGTGAATTAAATAGATGGAATTGTTAAACATCTTGAAAAATTTAGAGGAGACAAAATGCAACAAAATTTTTATGGATATGAATATAATCAAATGTATGCAAATAATCTTTAATTATATAGGGAAAAGTGAAGTAAAAGTATTAAAAATATCAATATGGATATTTAAAGGATTAAAGGTGTAAAGGGCTTGCACACAATGTAAACCCTATAAGTTTACCATTACGTAAATGACTTGTAAAAATTAGTATGAAAATTAATTTGCGCACACCGCATAAGTTTGCGTAGCGATTTCGTTGGGCAGCAATGTGAGTAAACTTACAAGATTGCGAATGCAACCCTGTCAAATGGTCAGCTGATTTGTTTTATTGTCCAGAGTGCAAAAAGATGGATTGCCACATTTTATAACCCACAATAAAAACAAAACAGAAAACGCATTAAGCCGACTCATCGGCAGACAGAATTGCATGTACCACACCTGTCGCATGTAGTTGCCGATGTAGTGAAACGGCCTTTTTGAGTCTCGCTTGAGCACGGAATGCAATATAAAATTTTTGTTTGTGTATATATATATAATATAATATATAATGTTTTTTAGAAACCCACTGCCCAAAGGTTTTACGAGAAGGCTTTTTAATATTAATAATTGCATACTTGACTGACATTGAGCAACACCAAAAGCACAGTCAGAATCGGGAAGGACGTCTCCGAACCGGTCGATACCAAACGAAGTTTTAGACAAGGCGACTCCCTATTGTGCGACTTCTTCAATCTGCTTCTGGAGAAAATAATTCGAGCTGCAGAACTAAATGGAGGAGGTACCATCTTCTATAAGAGTGTACAACTGTTGTCGTATACCAATACCCGCGCCGTTATTTCTGACAAGGAAGCAAAGCAGATGGGTCTAGCAGTGAACGAGGGCAAGACGAAATATCTTCTGTCATCAAATAAACAGTCGTCGCACTTGCGACTTGGCTCTCACGTCACTGTTGGCAGTCATAACTTTGAAGTCGGAGATAATTTCGTCTATCTTGGAACCATTTCCGTTTGTCAAAATTATAAAATTAAGCGGTGTATTTGGGCAATATAGTTTTCGAGGTCAAGCAGTCGCATTCGGCAAACGGATTCAGATCAGATAATAAAACAAACATCGGACGCACCCTTCGTCAAGGGTTGAAAGATCTTTACATGGAACATAGCGCCGGCATAATAATAACAGATGGACAATCATTCGGAGTGATGTACTATGATAACAAATATTACTTCACTAACTCASATTCTTGTGGTCAAAAGGGATCTAGAGCAAAGGATAACAATAAAAGAGCGTGCATTATCGAATGCGACTATGTAGACGAGTTCATGATAATTTGTATACGTAAAACAGGCAGCAAAAATGTGCAGTATAACCTTGATTACATTGATGTTGTATATAAAACAGACGAGCCTGATGAGAAGAAATATAGCAGAGTATTGAAATAGCGTCTGCAATGAATACTTCTCAACAAGAACTACCAAATCATTTAACTCCACGCCGATTGATGTAATGCAACCCAGTGTGGAAGACGAACTACAGGTTTCGCAAAACGAAAGACAACATCGTTAATATTGGACATGAACTGAAAGCAGAAGAGATTGCCTGATACTTCTGTTTCCTTACGGCAAAATGGGTTCACTGAACAAAGGCCTGTAAATACTACTACTTACAGTTTAGAATTTTGGGGAGTGACACAAGATTTCAACGTAAGGACTATCTACGTTGTGTATTTTCCTTCTTTAAATATTATATAATCAAAAGCATTATATCTGCATGCGGCAAAATAGTTGTTAATCAAGAAGGAGCAATAGAAGATGTCCATATTTATGTAAAAAATTTAAGTTACTCGGCAGCCTCTAGGACCTCCAAATTAGCTCAGATGATCTCAACTGGCTAGACCAACGAAAGGCTTTATTAATAGCCGATGGTAGGGCTGACATTGGACATTGAATTCCAGAATCATTTCAATCCTTGGATCGTAATTGTTGCTATAGAATACCTCCAGAAGAAGAAGGCCCAGAGCTTCATGATTTAGTTAAAAAATGTCAAATTCATCAGCATACACAAACTTGTTCAAAAAATAATACTTCTATAAAATGCCGATTCATCTTCCCACGTCAAGAACATGACGAGGCACGAATTGTGTCACATTCTTCATATGATTTTCTTCGTAACGGTGGTACAATTTGTTTACTTAAGCGTCGAAAGGAAGATGCTTGGGTAAATAATTACCACCTAGACTTGCTAAGACTGTGAGCAGACAACATGGATATTCAGCCGTGCGGATCAAACGAAGCGATAGCGTACTATATAGCAAAGTACCTATCGAAAGCAGAACATGTAGGTATAGATTCTGGAATTGTGCAGGCAATACAGCAAATTCAACGCGAATAAACTGATATTTCACGCAAACTGTTTAGCATATGTATGAAGATTCTTCATGAACGATAAGTATCAGCTGCAAAGGCAGAATAGCGTTACAGAGTATTGCAATTCGACAGAAACGGGCACGCAACTGATTATTATAGTAATATATTTGAAAGATATCGAAAACATCCGTTACAATCTCCCGACTACGATTTTGGAAACATGAGCCTTACAGAGTTTGCAATGTTGTTTGAACCATTATATCCGAAAAAAGTAAGCGGAACTGAGGAAAGGTTCGATCACAACGCGTATGAAGAATATCGAAACACACGTCGTCCACTCCTTACGCTATTAGATAAGATCAAAATGGTTATGAGAAAGGTTCCCGCAGTTTTTAGGGTGCCTTATCGTTTGGAAACTGAATTACTTGAAGGATTCGATAATGCAAAGGAAGCGTTTTGCATGACAATGACGCCAGAATCGGGACAAATCCAATTGTAATGCTGCCCCTCGCGGTTGCGGTCACGGGGGCCGTAAGCATCCGATGGTGCAGTCGCGAGTGAGATGCGTAAGTCAAGCAATTCAGGCAATGACCGTGTGCCTGAGCGATCTGCTGGCGTTGCAAATGCTATTAAAGAAAATCGTCAAAACAACCTTATCTTGGAACAATATAAGTGCACTATCAGTACTACAAACAATAACAATCCAATAGTTATTTACTAGTAAACAACCAGCATCTCAATGATATAAGTAGTACTAAGATTTATGCAAACAAACCTAAACAAACAATATATGGTATGGTATGGGACAAAAACAGCTACAATGCCTTTCATGAGGGTGGAACACCTTTGCATAGAAGCCTTTATCAGAAAAGGTCCAGCAAAATCGACACCTGTAATGCTGAAAGGCAGAGAAAAATTGCAGCGTTCAGGTGGAAGACTAACATCTTGGCAGGCCATCTGTTGCATGAGGCGATGTTCACCGTGTTACATGAGTATGTGGATATAATTAATGAATAGTGTGACAAATTGGGATTTCTCTGCTATTATTAGGGATGGCGTTCATTACACGTCAGGATTAAATTAGCAAGCCGTCCATTCATACGAAGCAGACCCTTTGTGTATAGAAATGGGTTGGAACTAAGATTGAGCTCTTTTTATCAATCGGCTTAGATTCTCTAGTAATGATATATCGCGGCTGAAGTAACGTATTTGAGTTGATGCGATAAGAGCGACCTTTGCTTTTTGTAAGGCTTGGTGTGTCAATGCATCGCAATGACGGTAAGCTACTCCTTTAAGTTTAAGCAGCTCTAAAAACTCGATCATATAGGCGACTACTCTGAGTGCTCGGGAGAACGATAAAAATCGTTCAAGGATGTTAGTATCATCCATTGTGGTATGATAAGTGGCGATTTTTCGATTTTCTGAGACAAGTATGTTGCGCTTGGGCGATTGTGGCCAAGAATCGGGAGATTCTGTTAGCTATCAGAGGTCATTTCACCAGAAGGTGGTGGTGGCGAGATGCAGGGGTTTGCACCCTATTGTACCTAGATCGGCAGGATTGTCAGCAGAGGCTACGTGTCGCCAAGTGGCTGATCCCACAAGGTCATGTATTTGACACGTTCGATTGGAAATATAGGTTTTCTACGCACGTGGTTTCCAAACCAGGCCAGAACTACCTCAGAATCAGATCAAAGATATGAATTGTATGTCACCATGTTTAAGTGGGTCTGCACCATGGAAGCTAGTTTTGCTAGTAGTAGAGCGCCACAGAGTTCAAGTCGTGGGAGACAGCGTTCTTCGCGGTGCAACTAATACTTTGGCCACTAGTAAGTGGCTTTTAATTGCTTTGTGCTCGCACATATATAGTGGCACAGAATATCTTTTCAGAGGCGTCACAGAAGCCGTGTAGTTCCATTTTGTATTCGGGGGAATAGTTTACCTACCGTGGAATTTGTATCTGCAAAATGTCGGTCAGATTAT